CCTAGCAGTGATAGTGGTATTAGTATAGGGATATCTTGGATCCATTTGCAAACATCGACATTTCGTTGGTTGCAGATTACTTGCCACATCCTCATATGGGTTATGCACAGTCATGGCTTATGTTGTGCCCTTGTGGTTGAGAATAGTACAGAATGTGGGGTAGATGTAGGTGGGGAATGCTTTAAATTGTCCAGACATGGGAAATTGTCCAGACATGTATTCTATCCTAAATGAATAGAATGATTTTCTTAATGAGAAACTGATCTCTAGTACAGTAACCCACAAAAAGACGTGAGAAGACAGCCTGGAATTTTTTAAAGGGAGAAAAGCATGAAATGCTATAGGTGGCTGGGTTCCACATAAGTACATCCTCAGGGACAAGGAAACAGGAATGTGAAAGAGTTGTTTGATCAGCTTGGGTAGCATAAATAAATGATTAAAGGCAGTTCCTCGAGACCAAAGGATATGGTTTAGTCATTCTTATGGTCCAATCACTAGACTGTGGGGGAGGCACGGCTCAGAGTTCAAGAAAATGAACTTTAGAATGATTTAAGGAGTGGCTATTGCAAAGAAGTTAATGGGCATCTATTCTAGGAGTCCTTGATTATGGTCAAATGGCAAGTATTTTCTCTCTCGTACCTTAAAAAACAGGTTTTGCCAACTCTGAAAGGCATCTTATCCAGCTGTTAGAATGTGAGACTGCTGTGTACTAGCAGCTGAGGCCAAGTCTGCAGAGGGGTTACCAATAGAAGGAAAGTTATAAAGGGAAAATTCATGGTTAAATCCTCTAAGGATAAGTGAACTGTAAAACACAAATCTGAGGAAGAAAACTGGTCCAGCACAGTGCAAGGGTGGACCAGGAGCCACAAAGGGCAAAACTAACCAGGTAATGGTTCATGATTTCACTGGCGTAAAGGAGTCAAGTACAATTTTTGCAGCAGTCAGCGAAGTTTAAGTACCTCAGTCTTCTCTTTGCCCTTGCCCTGGAACCATTTCTCAGTCAGGCTGCCTGTGCCAAGGTCATTGAAATGGGCAGAGACAGACCTATACTAGCAGAGCTCAGATAAAATTTCTCATAGACTATCCTAGAACATCCACAAAAAATCTCAAATTATAGCGATAGAGTGTGCTTCGTTTTCTCAAAGTCCAACAGACAAGTATTCAATTCACCGATAACCAGTAGATAGACTTGAGTGTTCTGTTATCCTGTCGTTGCAAGATGAAGATAGTTGGACATGGTTTAATCATTTTTTCCCCAATGTCTAAGGATGCTAGTAGGCTCTGAGGATACACATAACAAGTAGCACACTGACTCTGACTTTTTAGAGGAAGCTGATATTTAAAAACAACAGATGATATTGACAAACAGGTGAATTCACTTTAAGTAGTAGAATTCAAAATTTTGCATTAAGATATCAATGATTGACAACGGTAAGGGCAGTACCTGATCTTTTTGTGGGTAGAACTTGCCTCTGGAACGAACACCATTCCCAGAAAATTTGGAGTAGTCGTTCTGAACTTGAGCTGCACATTTGAATACCTAAAGAACATTTTTAAAAAACCACAATGCTCAGATTACATGCCAGACTGACTCTATCAGAATCTCTGAAGGTGGGACTCGGGCATCTGAGCTTTCTTGAGGCTCCTCAAGTGACTCTTAAAGTGCAGGCGAGATTGAAAACTGTTTTAGAGGTTGTCGGATGGTCTGAATATTTATTGAAAGGGCTCTGCCCACTGTGTGAGAATACCCTATTTCTGTGTGGTGTTTCTACTGCACCTGTAACAAGCTGAGAAGCTACAGGTATGGTAGCCATAAGGGGGAGGCTCGAGCCAGACTGCCTGGATGTGAATTAGCTTCACCTCTTAGAATATCACTGTAAGTTATATTCTGTGACTGACACATCATGCCCATTTCTTCATCTGTAAAATAGGGTTGGTATCAGTACCCATCTCATAAGTCCTTGTAGGGAGTGAATGAGAAGATCTGAAAGTGCTCATTAAATGTTAGCTATTTTTATAATTACCCTTTATTATGTAGACTCATAAAGTGTTAAAATAGGAAAGTAGCATGGAAACCTAGTTCTACTTCCTCATTTCACAGATGGGGAAACATAGTTTATTTTAGTTGTCACTGGTACCTTTTGTCTCTTCAAAGTCTATCATACCCCATGATTTACTAGTGGGTGATATAGCTACAATCTGCAAGCCTAAATAAGTACTTTTAACTAATTAAAAAATACTGTAAACCAGTTATAACTCTTAAATTTAAACTTATCAACAAACTCTCAGTCCTTAATACAATGACCATCTGCATGTTTAGGTTGGGGTTGGGGCACACACAGAAAGTATGTAGTCATCTTGAGGTCGGTATGTACTGATTCTTGATTTTTTAAAAATGAAATTGAAGAGTGTAAAAAGCAGATTCTTTTTTTATACTTTCTCGGTTCTTTACACACTCAATCAATTCTTCAGTTTTCTTTAGTGGAAAGGCAAGCTGCAGTTTTATTGTTTATTACCTCTTCTGCTATGCCAAACAGGAAATACAGAGCCCATTTCCTGCTTGAGTTATATCATGTAAGACCAGAGTTTGTCACTGGAAGAACAGAATTTGAAAACTCCTATTTCTCCTTCCCACATTTAACAATGCATTGACTTAAAGATCTGTTAAAAGAGGGTTGGGGGGGAGGGGAAGGCAAACGCAAACCATTTTTCCCTAGTAAGACTCAGAGTCTAATTCTAGGTGTCATCAAATTGCCTAGGGAACTGAAGTTCTAGGGCATTTACCTAACTGAGGAAGCCACCCCCGGTTAGAAAGGCTTAATCAACAGAGTGGTTGACAGCAGTCCTCCTCAAACTTTAACATGCCTAAGAATCACCTGGGGATCTTGCTAAGATGCAGGTTCTGATTCAGGAAGTCTGGGATGGAGCCCTAGACTCTACATTTCCAACAAGCTCTAGGTGCTGCAATGCTGCTGGTCCATGGATTACATTTTGGGGAGCAAGGATCTCTGGAGTCAGTCTTCGTTCAAGTCCCTGCTCTGCCACTTTCTACTTGTATGACCTTAGGGAAGTTTACTAATCTCTAATGGTTTAACCTCCTCATCTGTGAAATGGTATAAAGAATAAGTAGGATTATAATCTAGGCTTCCAGGAAATAGACATCATACTCTCACCTCCACACAATTTCCAACCCCCTAACATCCTCAAACGTGGATAAAGAGCAATCAGTGAACATTTTAATTTTTGTTATATCTGAGTATGTAGCTTTCACTGTTTTGACAGGATAGTTGACATTAGTCTTAGACTACTCTTGTGGGCCATGCCTTCAAGACACTGCCCTGCTAAAAACAAAATTCCATTGCAGTGAATACTATTACAGTTGAATGGGGAACAATATGCCAGTTCTAGTAGCTGACCCACAGAAACAGTGATATGTTGGTTTGGTTATAGTGACTCCTCTAAATCAGTAAACAAAAGATTAAGGTTCAAGCTGACTCTAAGTGTTAAGGATTAGCAATTCGACATTTCCTTTCTCAAGCATCAATGATTCTTCAGTTTTCCTTTGCCTGTCCACATCGCAAACAGCCCAACTATTCCTGCCAGAAAAACAGATAAATGAATAAAACACCTAAGCTATGTGGTAGGTAACTGGATTGGCTTGTTCAACCTCTGTTCCATCATTCTAGTTGGGAGGGCTGGAAAGGTAAAAATACTTTTCCAGACTCCCTTGCAGCTAGGATTTTACATGTGAATTACATTCTATGAACTCCATACCTTCATTGGAGATCTTAAAGGTACATTCACGGTGGGTATTTCCACAAGTAAGTATGGTTGTGGAGACCTAAAGTTCAGTGCTAAGTATCTTTATTTTTCAATTACATTTGACATTCTGTACTATATTAGTTTCGGGTGCACAGCATAGTGGTTAGACATTTATATAACTTACAAGGTGATCCCCCATAAGTCTTGCACCCATCTGACACCATAGTTATTACATTAT